AATATTGTGAAAATGACTGTACTACCTAAAGCAATCTACAGATTCAATGCCATCCCTATCAAATTACCAGTGGCATTTTTTACAGAACCAGAACAAAAAATCTTAAAATTTTATGGAGACACAAAAGGCCCCAAATAGCCAAAGCAGTCATGAGGGAAAAAAAAAATGGAGCTGGAGGAATCAGACTCCCTGACTTCAGACTATACTACAAAGCTACAGTAATCAAGACAATATGGTGCTGTCACCAAAACAGAAATATAGATCAATGGAACAGGATAAAAAACCCAAAGATAATCCCACACAACTATGGTCAACTAATTTATGACAAAGGAGGCAAGGATATACAATGGAGAAAAGACCGTCTCTTCAGTAAGTGGTGCTGGAAAAACTGGACAGCTACATGTAAAAGAATGAAATTAGAACACTCCCTAACACCATACACAAAAATAAACTCAAAACAAATTAAAGACCTAAATGTAAGACCGGACACTATAAAACTCTTAGAGGAAAACATAGGAAGAGCATTCTGACATAAATCACAGCAATATCTTTTTTGATCCACCTCTTAGAGTAATGGAAAAAAAAACAAAAATAAACAGATAGGACCTAATGAAACTTAAAAGCTTTTGCACAGCAAAGGAAACCATAAACAAGACGAAAAGACAACCCTCAGAATGGGAGAAGATATTTGCAAATGAATCAACAGACAAAGAATTAATCTCCAGAATATATAAATAGCTCATTCAGCTCAATATTAAAGAAGCAAACAACCCAATCAACAAGTGGGCAGAAGACCTAAATAGACATTTCTCCAAAGAAGACATACAGATGGCCAAGATGCACATAAAAACCTGCTCAACATCACTAATTATTAGAGAAATGCAAATAAAAACTACAATGAGGTATCACCTCACACCTATTAGAATGGGCATCATCAGAAAATCTACAAACAACAAATTCTGGAGAGAGTGTGGAGAAAAGGCAACCCTCTTGCACTGTTGGTGGGAATGTAAATTGGTGCAGCAGCCACTATAGAGAACAGTATAGAGGTTCCTTAAACAACTAAATACAGAATTACCATATGACCCAGCAATCCCACTACTGGGCATATACCCAGTGAAAACCATAATACAAAAAGACACATGTGCCCCAATGTTCATTGCAGCACTATTTTCAATAGCCAGGTCATGGAAGCAACCTAAACACCCGTTGACAGATGAATGGATAAAGATGTGGTACATATATACAATGGAATATTACTCATCCATGAAAAGGAACGAAACTGGGTCATTTGTAGAGACGTGGATGGATCTAGAGACTCTCATACAGAGTGAAGTAAGTCAGAAAGAGAAAAACAAATATCGTATATTAACACATATATGTGGACCCTAGAAAAATGGTACAGATGAACTGGTTTGCAGGGCAGAAATAGAGACACAGATGTAGAGAAGAAACATATGGACACCAAGGGGGGAAGGCGAGGGGTTGGGGATGAACTGGGAGATTGGGATTGACATGTATACACTAATATGTATAAAATAGATAACTAATAAGAACTTGCTGTATATAAAAAAATAAATAAATTAAAAAACAAAACAAAACTGCAGCTGAATACCAATTTGCTAAGAGGAAAATCTGCATGTCCACGTCTCGCTTCAGGTAAAGGGCACCAGACATGAAATGTGGTCCATTTGGGACTTGGGCTGAGGCAGAGGAACTGTGAGGAGGAAGTGGGGCTGGCCATGGTGCCGGGAAGCCTCAGCATCATTTGGTGTCTCAGACTCTGAGGGTGGATGCTGTGATCCCAGATGGCTGAGGCGTTGCCTGCCATCTGGTAGCAGTTGGATGCAGAGTCCAATCTGATGAAACTGAGCCAGACAGCTGGTATCAGATATTAGAAAATGTTAAGTCCAAACTCCAGAGTAGCTTTTAACAAAGCTGCCTCTCAGCCTGGGGTCCTGGGAACAGGGGTGTGAGGGCTTCCTGAATTTATTAGTATACTGTTGATAAGCCCATTATGTGCTCATCAGGGAATACATGGCATGTTAATTATGAAACTGATGTTAGCTTGTGGGGCAACCCTGTGTTAGCACACAGAACATCACTCTGGTTTTTTTCCAATATGATTTGGAAAATCCTTTCACCAACTGAACATCTCAAGTTTACTCGTGAAACATCCCGCTATTGACCCTAATAATAACGATGGTTAGTTGGAGAGAAATTACCAAACACAGGTCTTCTCAGAAACAGTCCCCGGACATGAACGTCTGCCTAGTGATGACCCAGAGTAAGTCCTATGTTCCCAGACACTTGGGGTCCCTGAAACGGCATTGCTTCTCTGACGTTTATCATAGAAGCACAGTTATCTGACCCCAAAGCCAAATGACCAAAACTGACATGGAAAGTGCACAGCTCCTCGGGATGTTCTGGGACCAGCTTTCAGCACCCAGGAGAAATGATTTTGTGAAATGAGCAGAGGTCACTACATTGCAAACAAAATTCTTTCTATTAAAAATGACAGTTCCCACACTCAGATGTAAAGAAAAGAGCTGTCATTTTTGTCCTCCTTCCTACCACTGTTTGGCACGAGTTATTAAGCCATGTCCTGGAAAGAAGCCAACGGTGCATATCATTAAACCGAACTTCTGAGGAGCTGTTAATTTTTCAGTGTGATATCACACACATGCAAATGAAAATCCTTGTCTGCCAGCTTCCACTGTAATAAGAACATTTTTAGGAAGGTAAGGATGTGTAAGACACTGAGATAATCCAGAGATGTAGCTGAAAAGGAACAGAGAAGTTGTGCTTTCCTCTAGAAGGTGGTTTCCGCCAGGCCTGTGTTGAAAAGACATTAGCGGGAAGACCTAGCTACCAGAACATGTCATGTCAGGAGGTGCTGCCCAGTGGATTTACGAGGTCTGGGGGCGGACACCTCAGAACTGTAGGTCGGGCTGAGCTTCTGGGCCTCCTCACCCAGCAGGACCTCTCAGTGCAAGGGCTGAAAGGTTTCCAAACCTTTTAATTGATGGTTTCTCTGATCAAAAACCTTGAAACACTTAGAGGTCCTAGGATTTTTTTTATAGTTCTGTTCCAGTCCCCAAGTGGGTTTGAATTATATCAATAATAACTTTGTTCCAAGCTTAGATCCATAAAGGATCCTAATCTTGGGATATTTGGGAACATATAATGGGTTTCACTAAGTGGTTTTATTTCAGAAGCACCCAAGTGCAGTATAATGAGTTTCACAGTCCTAGGGTGTTGCTAGTTTTGGAAAATGTTCTAGTGCAGAGTGAGGGGAGAGCCCACCGATTCTTTGGATATAAAGGGAAAAAGGAATAAACAAGAAACAGGGAAAATAAATGTTGAAAGGATTAAAGAATATTTAAAAGGAAATCACAATGCTCAGGGGTCCTTGAATGAATGCAGGCTAGATAGCATCCTATAAGCAATGCATTTTGTTAATGATATTGTGTGGCTTGCCTTTCTGTCTGTCCGTGTGCCTACTGGTCCAGACCCCTCACCCTCCTCCTATGTGGGCATTCCCAATGTTCTCTTTGCTGATTCCATCCTCTTCCAGACACTTTCCAGTCTAGTGGGGCTCAGGGGGCAGGCCAGTGGCTACCTGCTCATCATTCCTCCAGGGATGGAAGCTGTACACTGTACCAGTGAGCATGGGGGCTCGGCTCAGGTCAGCAGTTCCAATAACACTAAACCTGTCAGGCAGTACATTCTGTCCTGTAAACTCTTCAGTCCTTTAGGTTTAAAGTCCTTGTGTTTTACCTGTATCATGGCAGTTGCGAGGCTGTCCCTCCAGGCAGGTAGAACCCATTATCTGGAGGAGTGGTGATAAAATGCAGATCAGAAAGAGGCAGGGTTGTTAGGATATTAACTGGGACTTCTCCTGTTGTTCTGGAATTTCAGATGAGAACGTTATACTGAGGACCCCAGATAATAGTGCCTATGCAGAAAAGCTCAGCACATCCCTACTGAGCTTATAAACAGGTGTTCAAACCTGCCCCTCCCCCTAGTCTCCACCCTTAGCCTATTTAATATAATCCTTAAAATTGACCAGGGATGAGATTTTTTTCTAAGGGAATTTGTACGAATGGAGATTATGCTCCTGTACCTGGTCCTTTCTCATCAAGAGAAGTGAGGGAGCTTCAAGACCACCCCACCTCTTGAAATTAGGGTTGTCAACCAGCAGGCGAAGCTCACCTCTCCCCGAGTCTCCACACGCCAACCCCTCCTACCTGCACAATTGGCAAACCAGAAACCACAGCCCAGCCAGAGAATAACAAGAGTGTTCCCGGGAGGACCTGACATGTCTGGAGTCTGGGGATAGAGGGATCGGTGCCTGCCTCCAACCCGGAGAAAGGTGACAGGTGATGGGGGGCACCTGGTGAGGATGCCCACAGGGGAGACCACCAGCAAGGAGAGGGTTCTGCACTCCCAGTGTATGGCAGGGTGAGGATGTAGAAAAATTCACACAGGCCAAGTGGATTCAGGACAAATACACCTGTAAACTCTGTATTGAAGCTCAGAGTATTGCTATTAAGAAGAAGCCATAGGGGACTTCCCTGGCTGTCCAGTGGTTAGGACTCTGATCTTCCACTGCAGGGGGCACGGGTTCGATCCCTGGTCGGGGAACTAAGATCCCATAATCTGTGTGGCACAGCCAAAAAAAAGGAAATAATCATAAAATAAAAATTATAAAAAAAGAAGAAACTGTAGAATTCCGGGAATGCTGGGGTTTTCAGCAAGAATTTTCAACATACCTCTTGCCAAAACAGACTTAAACTAAATCAAACAAACAAACAAAAAGTAAAAATGTCAGAGAAAGAGCATTAATGCAAAACTGAGGAATGGTATGTGTGTTCTGAGGATTATGCGCGAAAAGCAATGAAATGAAGAAGACACAGGCAATAGATACAAGGTTCTGCCTCCCAAGAGAGTGGGGCTATGGAATAGGAAACAAACGAAGGAAATTCTGAAAAACTCACTTTGGGGGACACAGCTTGGGGCCTGCGGGACCAGAGACTAGCTGTCCGTTCCTTGCTTGGGGCTCCTTTCTCCACCACCCAACAGTAGCACCTGCCGAGGCAGAAGTTGCAGAGCTGGAAGGAAACGTCAACAGCCGCGGTTGAGCTCTCCTCCTGTTCTGTCGGAGGGTGAATTTGTTCCCACATTTGGAGAACACGCCTCACCAGGGAGCGGGTTTGATGAGGGCTGAGGGCAACAATCTATGGAGGGAAACAGATGGAAGAGTTTCTAAAAACTTCCTTCAAAACTAAAACCAACAGAAAACTCCTGCTGTCAACTAGACAGAGAGCTCTCAAAACACAGGACTTCTATGTGTCCCATGGCCACTAAGCCTGAGTGGGGGAATAGGCAGTCTCCCAGGAGAACACCCATAAAAGAATGGCTTGTACTCTTGCAGCTCAGGGATTGTGGCACAGATCTGGAACATGTGTGATGAGGTCCCCAAAGCTGTCTGCCAGGGCTCCGACACCCACCCTACTTTCCTGGGCCCTGCAGTGCTGAGCAGGCAACGTAAACCTGTACTCAGTGCTCTGATCTCCTGCAAAGGCATCAGGCCAGTGGAGTTCAGGTGAGGGGGACAGGAGTTGGAGATGCACAGTGACCCCATGATTTTAGAACCCGCTGGAGTCAAACAAGAATCTCCTCCTTTTGAAGCCTAATAAACTGCTCCAAGACAGAAATAGAGGAAAATAAACCCAACAAACGGCGTGTGTTAATGGTATATTTTGGAAGATTTACATCAAGAAACAAATACTTGATCAAATGTATCCTACGTTCAAGAAAGTTTTAAAAAAAAGATTCGCAGAGGGCATCCCTGGTGGCACAGTGGTTGAGAGTCCGCCTGCCGATGCAGGGGACATGGGTTCGTGCCCCGGTCCGGGAAGATCCCACATGCCGCGGAGTGGCTGGGCCCGTGAGCCATGGCCGCTGGGCCTGCGCATCCGGAGCCTGTGCTCCGCAACGGGAGAGGCCACAGCAGTGAGAGGCCCGCGTACCGCAAAAAAAAAAAAAAAAAGATTCGCAGAAATAAAAGATTATTTGATGACAACCTCCTGAAATACAAAGGGAGTTTTTGTAACTCAGGAAATAAAGTAAGGGGACAGGTAATGTTATTACAACATTACTTGAGAATTAAAAACACCCAAGTTGTTATTTGCAAGTGAAAACAAATTTCCACATACACAAGCCAGGTGGTATTTGTTCCTTCTAACTTCCTTCCCTGGATGGTCTATATGAAGACATCATTAGGGTAAATGATCCACAAATGGGATACTGTGGTATAAAGATGTGGCAATGAGATTGAAGCCATTATACAAGAAACTAAATGCAAATAATTAGGGATTATGGCTTCCCAATATATGAATGTTATCCTTTACGAAAGAAAGCCAGAGTAATGTGAATGCTGCCTTAGAGGTGTGTTAATTGAATATAGCTATATGCACTTGAGTTCCCCTTCCTGCCTCCCCCCAAAAAAGAATGGGACAGAAGAACTTAAATAGTGGCACTAGCTGGGCCTGCCATCCTACTCAAGGCACATCCCTGAATGAGTGTGAGATGACAGGCAGTTCTAAGGTCTCCTTAGGAGGGCTCAGGTCCCAGGCGCTCTCCAGACATGAGCATCTTCCTGCACTGTGGTCCGGTGTTTAACCATATCTACTTTGGGGCCCCTAAAAGCAAGTGGCTTACTTTATCTGGCACAACTAAAGAAATAGCTATTGTTTTCAAAACCTCAAAGAAAAAACTGAATTTGTTAGTCTTACTGAAAGGATTTTTCAACCTCCAGTAATGCAACTTCCTAGGGAATTTTCAACGGTAATTTTGACAAACATGATTTTTGTCTCATTCATGAGATTTGAAAGGAGCTCCAAGTGGGAGCAAATTCCATGTAAATAAAGTCCTGTGAAATTATTTAACTATAAAAGACTAGAGAAAAGATTTGAGAACTTAATTGCCAAACCCGGAATGTGAAGTAGGTGAGAGTGTAGATATCCTAAAATAATTCTTTTATGGAAAGTTTTTTTTGTTGTTTAATATTGGTTTATCACTAGTATAAATAAAAACAGATTATTCCTTCAAATTAAATGGGGCAAGGAACAAAACTCAAACCACAAGACCATGTAACAAATGATTATAAGCAGCAGTAACATGAACAAGGATAAAAAATAGTAAACTCAAGAAAACATAAAAACGTAATTTGGACTTGGGAAACAGAGATCATCAACCAGATATTGGCTGGAGAGAAAATCAAAGAAGGTATTCAGGGGACGCACAAAACTGTTGACATTGGTTAACTGAGGTGAGAACAATTTTGGGTGGTTTTTACTTTATTAAACTATTTTGTGTTTGACCAATGTTAAATACAACAATAAAGTTATCTTATTTTTTAATAAAAAAAAGTAGGGGGAGGAGCAAGATTTTTATGCCATCTTTTAATCCCCTACACCTTCTACAACAAAATACCTGGTCCTGGATAACGACCCCTGAGTTTCAGAATGAGAGAATGAGAAGCTTAAGAATCTGAATGGCCTTCAGTCTTTGGAAAAAGATGCAGTGATGTTCAGAACTTAAACTTCTCTTAGCTAAGGTGGCAGGTACATGTTATAAGTGCACTTACTTTTAGAAAGAAATTTTACAGCAGTAAAGTTCTGATTATCTTCCGGTGGCACAGAACATAATCAGGGTCCCATTCAAACCCACTGCGATTCATTGGTCAAGTGAAACTTTGGAATCTCTTTTGGAATCTATACTGTACATTCAGCAGGAATGGGAAGACTCCACTTTCCTGATCTTTCCCCTTGGACTCCTTTCTTTCCTCTTGTCTCATCTGTTATATAAATTTATATCTGTATTTCTGGAAAGATTAATAAAATCTCCTGATTTTCATAGATGGAAATCTTACTTTTTTGCTAAAATTGTGGAAATAATAAAATTACCAGTGGACACTTTCTGTCGCATTTCACCTTTGCTCTTGGAAGCTCCTACTGTAAGCTCTCTCTTCTGGTTTTGTCCAGATCCAAGTCAAGTAGGTCATTTTTTTTTTTTTTTGGCGGTACGCGGGCCTCCCACTGTTGTGGCCTCTCCCGTTGCAGAGCACAGGCTCCAGACGCGCAGGTTCAGCGGCCATGGCTCACAGGCCCAGCCGCTCCGCAGCATGTGGGATCTTCCCGGACTGGGGCGCGAACCCGCATCCCCTGCATCGGCAGGTAGACTCTCTACCACTGTGCCACCAGGGAAGCCCAAGTAGGTCAATTTTTGTTTTTACCTTTACCGGATGAACCAAGTAAGAAGTGGCGTAATTAATGTTTCTTCTCCAAGATCTGAGGAAAGAAATTCTCTCTACTGACCTGGAATAAACATATGGAATGACTGTGGTTAAAGTGAGGGGAAAATTCAGTGTAATCTGTTTTATCAGTTCTCTCTGTCAATGGCGCCTTCATTCGGCACTGGACTAGCACATGCTCCGCAGTTGAGAACTCCTGGGCCCTCACATTTGCCTTGCTAGTATTGTTCTTCACGCCATGGGACTCATGTGCTATAAATCAAACCTTTATGTCTATTTTAAATTAGATTTTACTATTTGGCATTTTAAGGAGGCCCAAAGAAATATTTCCATGGAATTAGACTAGGATATTAGCAACTATCTTGCCAAAAGTCAAAAGACAAATAGTTGCCTGCGTATTTTAATATTAAGTACTAATTCTGATGAGGTAGTATGCATACTTTAATAATTAACATACGTTTGATTTATTGGATTTAATCAGAGCCTTATTTGCAGCATTCTTGGTCACAAATAAGTTGAGTAAATATTTAAGACCTGCATCAGCTCCAATTCCTACCCCTGTCGTTTTAAAGGTATCAGTGAAGACAAATTAGCCTTTGTTATGAATGACCTTAATGATACTGTGATGACATAAAAATAAAGATAATAAATATTAATCTACTTTGTAGCCATTTTCCTTTGTGTTACTGACATTTCAGCCAGATGCCTTATACTATTTAAAATATGAATAACCGGAGCTTGGCTCCAAAGTCATTTATTTTTGGAAAAAAGATGCCAAATTAATAAAACGGTGTGAAGCTGGGGACCCAGGGAGCCATTCCAGCCATAATATAACAGATCTGAGGGCTTCAACCTTTCCGGGTAGTTAAGAAGCAGTAATGAAACGGGCATATCCAGGAGGCAGCCAGTTTTCAATTAGCCTGTTTGTGTTTCTGCGCCCAAAGGCCACCTCCGACACTGGAGAACATCTGCGTGTCCCCTTGCCCCTGAGTGAGGCCGGGGGCTGCTCCAAGCGGGCAGTAATGAGTCGGCTCCCTGTGAGATGCAAATTGTCACCTTCACACCATGACGATGGCTCAAGAAGCCTCAGTGACAGAAATCCCAGCCCCTCTCTCACCAGATTCCCTTGACCCTCTCCCCTTTCCAAGAATGGTAAGACAAAGGCTGTTATCATTGCTAACGCAACATTAAAATGACAACAGCAGCAAAAGTCATGGTTTATTTTCAGTGCAAATGATACCACTAGACTCAAAGAAAAAAATAGGCGTCTGGATGGTACGGTCTAGTTTTTGGTGTTATCTACCTGAACATAAATAAATGTTGGGATGAATCTAAAAAAACAGGAAAAACCAAGTGGGCTTGGAAAATCATAACATGGCCAAAGTTCTACTAAGATGGGTGGTGACATAACTGCCTTGAAAAATTTATTGCAAAACATGCAGAATCTGGGGCTTCCCTGGTGGCGCAGTGGTTGAGAGCCCGCCTGCCAATGCAGGGGACACGGGTTCGTGCCCCGGTCCGGGAAGATCCCACATGCCCCGGAGCGGCTGGGCCCGTGAGCCATGGCCGCTGAGCCTGCGCGTCCGGAGCCTGTGCTCCGCAACAGGAGAGGCCACAACAGTGAGAGGCCTGCGTACCGCAAAAAAAAAACAAAAACAAAAACAACATGCAGAATCCAAAATGTTCCTATGTTAGCCATTCTTCTTTTTGGGAATACAATAAATGAAATATAAATATGACTGGAATCATTGCAAAATTACAAATGTTACAATTTGGGCTCAAACAAGCATAAGAAAATAATTAAAGAAATTGCTTTGAAACTCCACTGACTTTCAGATGAGGTCTGTTATGGAATAGTTAACGATCTATAATAGATCATCTTCTTAAAAGCTGCCTTTACAGCACATAAAGCATCTTTCA